TTGAAAAATAATCATTAAAATAATATATTATGTTATTATTATTATATATTAATATATAAAGAAATTAAATATATTATTATATTATTATATAATATTATTATTATAAATAGTTATTATATATTATTTGAAATAAGCATGTATTATATTAGTTTATTTGAGTTTATTTATTGATACAAATAATTTTTTTCTAGATTATTTTGATATTTAAAATTTGTTTTAAATAATTTTTCATTTTTTATAAATTTTCATTTTTTATTTTTAATAAAATAACAAATATTTTTTTAAGTAAAATCTCAAATCTCAATTTTCATCATATTAATTGCATTTGAAATACGAGAAATTTCCATATGATATCTTATACTTGTAATTGAGAATATATTATTGACGAATAAATATATACGTAAAAACAGATTGATAAATATTCTTTTGAGAATAAATATGGTGAAATTATAAACATTTCCATATTCTCAATTATTCAATTCATTAATTATTCATTCAAAATTAATTCAGTTCAATTCATTAATTGATTTATATTAAATTATTATCTTAATTATTACCAAAACATTTTTCTAATTAATACTTTATATATTTTTTATAGTTTTTTTTAAAAACAAAATACTATTTTGTGAACAATATCCAAATAATATAAATCAGTATAAATCAAAAGCAACAAAGAAATATGAAATACTAAAGAAAAAATATTATTTATAATTTATTCATTATTTTTAATAATTTTTTTTAAATCTAAAAATTTTAGTATATTTTGATTTTTGTTTTATCAGTATGTTTTATTGTTTCTTGAATTTTTGAAGAGAAAAAGAATACATGCAATGCAAAATTTTCTATTTTGTCTAACATTAAATAAAAACATGCATTTTAAAGAGTGATTGAATTGCAAATAGATATCTTTGTTAAGCATATAATGGAGGAAAATTGACAACATATTTTGAAAGTTTAGAAAAGTGTCTTGAGATATAGAAAATGATGATAAATTCCAACAAGGAGATAAAAGTTTCCATATGGCAAATATTGAAAGAAAATGTATTGCATCTTTTCATTTATAAAAAGTTCA